CAATGTAAAATCATGTTATTAAAGCACGTAAATAATTCTATTGTTAAGCATGTAAAAATATGATTTTCAAAGATCTGGTGGGAGCGTGCACGAGGAAAAGGAAAGCTGCCAGCAAAAGCAAGACAGAATTTGGCTGTCCTGTCATGTATTCTCCATACGAACAGAAGTCCGCCAAAACAGAGCAGAAACTTGGTAGCTTGGGCTTTGTCACTTGTGAAAACTGAAGGACAGCAGAACAAAGGCTGAAAATTTTGTTTGAAACATGTCTTCTCAAAATCATTGACATTAATAATAAAGACATGCCCTGATGCTTAAATCAAGGTCTCAGACATTTCTGTTCTGTTTCAAGCCCATAATTTGTGCTGCACTGAAGTATATCATTAAGTAGTGTAGTTTTCATTATAGGACATAACGAAAAAAAAAAAAAAAGGGAAATTACAACTGTGCAACAGGTCCAGGTCCAAATATAACCAGCCCAAGCCCTTTGCTGATTTCATACATATTAATGTAGTTAACAATCAAACTTGACGCATCTGAATATCAGCCAAGAAAAATATCAACATCTTGCTCTTTCAGTGTATTCTAGAACAACTCTGCTCAAAGTGCTTCCAAAGAGGACATGTGATAATGTAAAACAGTCCTTGCATTCCTATTCATCACTACTTTGTGAGGAAAGATAAACTATTCAGAAAAGAGGAAGAGAAGCAAAACCAGGAGGCAATGAATAGTTTGCATATTTTCATCTGTTGGAAGTAATGGTCCAAATTCCACTAGAATATCTATACTGTTTACTATCTTCCCTTGCTGTCTACAGTTACAATTGAGTAGGACAGGGATTGCAGAGTGGTTGTATATCTGTACACCACTGTGCAATTCAAAGCTGTCTCAGAATTCCTCTACAGGCAAAGTATGTTGGCGTCTTATATGCCCAGTGTGGCAAGGCAAGATCAGTAAGACCTGTACCACATCCTTATCTCCACATTGGAAGGATGTGGATTTGGTGGGTGGACCACTTGATGGATAAGAAACTGGTTGAAAGGCCGCAAGGCAGAGGGTGGTCATCAATGGCTCCATGTCCAGCTGGAGGCCAGTAACAAGCGGCATCCCCCAGGGATCTGTCTTGGGACCGGAGCTCTTTAACATCTTTATCAGTGACATCGATGACAGAATCGAGTGCACCCTCAGCAAGTTTGCTGATGACGCCAAGCTGAGCGGTGTGGTTGACACGGTGGAAGGAAGGGATGCCATTCAGAGGGACCTCGAGAGGCTGGAAAGGTGGGCCTGGGTGAACCTGATGAGGTTCAACATGGCAAAGTGCAGAGTTTTGCACTTGGGCTGGAGGAATCCCAGGCATCCATACAGACTGGAAGGAGTGATCCTTGAGAGCAGCCCTGTCATCTTGATAGATGAAAAACTTAACATGAGCCAGCAATGTGCTCTTGCGGCTCAGAAGGCAAATGGTATCCTGGGCTCCATCAAAAGAGGGGTGGCCAGCAGGGACAGGGAGGTGATTGTCCCCTCTACTCTGCTCTTGTGAGGCCCCATCTGGAGGACTGTGTCCAGGTCTGGGGCCCCCAGTACAAGAAAGACAGGGAGCTGTTGGAGAGGGTCCAGACGAGAGCCACGAAGATGATCAGGGGACTGGGGCACCTTCCCTATGAAGATAGGCTGAGGGAGCTGGGCTTGTTCAGCCTGGAGAAAAGAAGGCTGTGATGTGACCTCACTGCAGCCTTTCAGTACCTAAAGGGAGCCTACAAACAGGAGGGGAATCAACTCTTTGAAAGGGTAGATAACAGCAGGACAAGGGGAAATGGTTTTGAGTTGAGGGAGGGGAGATTTAGGTTGGATGTCAGGGGGAAATTCTTTCCAGAGAGAGTGGTGAGGTACTGGAACAGGCTGCCCAGAGAGGTTGTGGATGCCCCGTCCCTGGAGGTGTTCAAGGCCAGGTTGGATGGGGCCCTGGGCAGCCTGGTCTGGTATTAAATGGGGAGGTCGCATTGGCAGCGGGGTTGGATGATCTTTGAGGTGCCTTCCAACCCTGATCAGTCTGTGATTTTGTGATTCTGTAAGGAAGAAAACCAAATGATATAGCTGAGGAAAAAGAAGACAAGTTTTTGAACACACAAGACTGTCTAATTTCTTTGTCTTTCAAGACTGAAGAAGAGCACAGCAGCACAAAACAGTGTCTGATTTTTCCAGCTTGATCTCATCTCACCTACATCCTCCTGCTTTAAGAGCTACAGCAACACAACCATTTAAAAAACTCAATTCACTTAATGTTAAAACAGCCATCTCCAGATGTCACAATGGTTTCTTTGAACATTAATAAACTCTAAACTGCCCAAAGGTAGATCTGTCCAAAATGGCTGCCACCACATTTTATGAAAATACCCTCCATATAATCCAAGGGCACTTGACATATAAAGCAGTGTAAAAATACCAGCTGACTTGTGCTTGTAAGTATTTCCTGCCCTTTTAAACTTTGCACTTGTTCGTTAATTTCAACAAATGTTGAGGTGGGCCAGCTGCTGAGGTGAGAGGATTCATATAAATCCCTCACAGATGTATGCTAACTTCAGATAGGAGTTTTATCATCTACAAGTCATTAATCAACCATTAACAAGTAAGTGTAATGGAGTCCCACTATTAAGGTTCACTGCCAAAGGAGAATAATGGATTTTGTAGTCTGGCTGTGTCTACAAAAAGGGGAACTAAGAACTAAGACAGCTCTGAGAAAAAACATTTGGAGGAGATTAGAAAGCACGGGAAGTCATTTTGTTGCTCTCTAGCTCGCCTTAAGAGAAAGCACTTCACAGGAGTTAAGCATTTACACAACAAACCAAGTGGAAAGTTCAAATTCATCCATCAGTTTAGTGATGAAGAGGAATGTATTTTGCACAGCCAAACAAGGAAGTCAGGCATAGGTGAGAATATTGCTCCTGAGAACAATAATAAACACTACATCATCAAGAGCATTACTCTCTCACTGATAGACTTTGAAGCTACAAAATCACCTGCTCTGGCCTCCAGGGTCTTCAGACTTCATCAGACACTTCTTGCTAAGGCCACAGACTCCAGCTGGAAACAAGAGGAGCAGCTAAATTGCTGCATGCCCCAGGCAGAGGACAGACAGGGCTGAGGCAGCACCTAACATCTCTGGAAGTGGCAGGATCAGTCAGGCAAAGTGTTGCTCTTCCTGTAGAACAAGGCATCATTTCCCATTCTTCAAACCTCTCCACCATAAAGTTGGTGGAGAAACTGGCCTTACAAAAAAAAAAAATAATAATAATAATAAAAAAAAATCCTCCTGCACACTAAATATGGATCTGGAAAGAATTCTGCCCTGAACTATGGAAGCAAGACATACTTACACTTTAGAAACAGTGAAAATATTCTTAGGTGAAAATTACATGGTATTATCCCATTCAGTGGCTTCTTCAGCCTTGGCCAATTTCTGATACTTATAATACAGACAATAAAGCAAGAACAAGAAAAAGCAGAATTGAAGAAAAATGCCCAAGTCTGAACCCAGCAGGCAAATGACAGAAGCTCTGAAATATGAACTTTGAATATAATACATTTTTTTAGTATTGAGGACCAAGTCTTGGGACAGTTTCAAGGGAAGACAATTGCCCCATCCCTGGAAATGCTCAGGACCAGGTTGGATGGAGCTTTGCACTACTTGGTCTACTGGAAACTATCCCTGTCTATGAAACTAATCCTTAAGGCCCCTTCCAGGCCAAACCATTCCATGATTAATGACTCTAGGCTTATGGGGACACAGGTGTATAAATGTAGGAAAATCTAACATCCAAGGGCTGAGGGATTCCATCTCTTGCCCCCCGTACCCTCCAGGTATTGCTGCTCTCCTCACAGCGAAAGTCCATCTCTAATTTCAGTTTCCGTTATGAATGTGTGATCCATGCCCAAAAGGTGGTACCACAACTGTGAGTATAACTACAAATCCAATGAAGTAGTAGTAAATGGAAAATAAATACGGTAGAACAGACAACAAAAACGTTTCAGTAATCCCACCAACGGGTTACAGAATACCAATTCCACTTATTTTAAAGACCTGGAAACAAAGTAAAAAAGAGGCCACAGAATAAATTTTACAGCCAGAACCAGAACACGCTGCTGGCTCTCAGCCCTAAACTCAGGCCAGTAGACTACACAATAAGGTGCAAACACCTTTAGAAATTCAGTGCTCAGTTTTCTCTTTCATGTCACAGCCAGTAAAAAGACATGCAAGTAGTTTCTACTCATTTTCCTTTCCTATTTTGCAACTCCGATGTTTCCACAAAATACTTCCACAAGTTTCTGAAATTCTGTGAGATGACAAATACGAAACCAGGTATTAGTTAGATCAAACACACAAGACTTTCCAAAGCTCACATACTGATTATTTAACACAACAAAGTGTAGGAAAAAAATATTCCTTACAAAGCCATACTTCATTTTGCATCAATAATGTTTCTCAGTAAAGAGCTCTACACAGCTGGAAGCATTAACAACCTACCAGATGGTTCACTTCTTGATAAACACTTATGTTTTGTAAGTTTAAAGTCTAATGAACTGTAGTGCAGGAAGATAAAAGTTATGTATGCAGAACGGTTCAAACGGCAGGTCAGGAGAGAGAGCTGGACAATGGAACAGCTCCATAGAAGCTCCCATCTTTATGGCAGCTTTACATTGGGGTGGGAAGGAGGAGACATGGCTGATCCATGGCTGGCAGATGACACAGACATGAAGTGCTGAACACATCACATTTGCACACACTCGCTCTCTCTCACAAGCTGCTATGGGAAATGGATAATAAAAGGCAGGGACTAGATCCTGACTCACAGCATTCTCCTAAACCAGCATGAGCTTCCAGACCTCTTGAGAGAGTGCATCATAGCAGTCCATCACAGCTCAAAGTAAATTGTGCAGTCCCACAATTACCATGCCTGAGTTATACCTGGTACAGCATGTACAGCCAGCAAAACTCACTGACTCACCTTGAGACAGATCTAGATCTGTTAAGTGCTTTGACGAAGATCAAGGATGGTGCAGACTGGCGTCTTTGGGCCAAACTCTTCATTTTTTGCTTGAAAAGAGAAACAAAAAGAAATTGTAGGTGAGACTTGGAACCACTACTGCATGCATACAGACTTGTAGTAGCCAGACTCCGATTTCAGATCACAGGAGAAAGGGTGAGTTATCACCATCAGAAGCCCTGGGAATGGAAAATGGTTCCAAAATGTCATACTGAGAAAAATAGGAGCATGGCCTGAAAGCCAGTGATACAGAAAAGCTGACAATTAGCGCCCATACACAGATACTCAAAGTATTGCATACGCAAAATAAACATCTAGAGCTTTTCCTCAATCACTTTTTGACCGTTAAGAATCTATTGTACTTCAAGAGTATCAAGTATCAAGTAATTTCAAATACTCAATACATTTCTGTATGAGTCCGGCAATTTATTATAAATTAATGTTTGGATTTTACCCACCTAAGTTTACACACAATATTGGGCTACATTTTTTTTCCCAAAATCATTAGAACCCCAAAGAGGTTTGAGCAAGTTCCTTTCCTATTAATCTAACTGGAACATTGCTTCTCTCTCTCAGTAGTCATTAAAGACATTTTTTTCATTCCTGATCACGCCTGGGAGGGCAAGGCAGTTCTCAGAAGGCATGGGAAAACCAGAAGGGAATGGGCAAAAGGAAACACAGGGAAAGCAGCAGGAAAAAAAAAAACCAACAAAGCATAGGTAAGAGATGGAAATGTCAGCAGCTATCAAGGGAGCATGGATTCCCACTGAGTGAAGTTGAACACCACAATAACAATACTGAGCAAATAGACAAAGCTGCTTTCCCTAGAGGCAGAAATTTTCAAAAGCATGCGCTGGAGACAGAAACACACATTTTGCTGCATAGAAATGTATTCATCACCGCACTGCCTCCCTCCTGCAGCCAGAAACAGGACTAAGGTGTGCTGGCCTGAGCACTGGAGCTGCTGTAGGAAATGGTGGTGCAGCCTAGCCTGCTGCTGCCAAGGTGTGTGACTTCTGCCCTCACAGGCCCTCCATCAAAGCACAGTCGTTGCCTTATTTTGCTCAAATACTTTTCATAACAGACTGCTGAACAAGCAGAGGGGGCTGAGCTCCTCCTGAGACCTAGACAGAACATGTCCTGTGGTGGTCCTTCACATCACCAGCCTGCACACCACTGAGAGCACACAATCAGAGGAACCTCTGGCGGTCACTGCTCACGGATAATTGCACAGCAAGATTTTCTTCCTTTACCCTAAATATAATCACTGAGTTCCAGGAACAGACATGTTCGGGAACAACTGATTCTTCTGCCAATTTATGCTCAGGATGTGGCACACATTTATTTGGGCATGTACATGGTTTGCTCTGCTCTGAGAGAAGACCCTCTACAGAACTATGTGTTTTACCTTTGAAAAGTGTATTTCTTTCACTCACTGCAGCGCATTTGTTATTGTCATTATTTGGTTCCCTATTTATGTACGTACATTCATTTTGTTAGATATGTAGTTGCAGCTATTACACAATAATTGTTATAAATTCAACTGTGTAATTTCAGTTCACCTCTAAAAATGATCTCACTTTGCTGTCTCTTTCATTAAGACATAACCTTCTCAAGACAGATCAATTAGGCCTGGGACTATTTAGATGTCTTCTGTCCAACTGTGACTTCCAGGTGGTGGTTTAAACTGGAGCATCTCAGCTCCTGTGAACACAGTGGAAGTTTGGTGATGTTTCCAGAGAGATCTTAAATCCTTTGATTGCTGCAGTCTGAAGAGAAAGCCACTGAAAAAAATGCAGTATTTTAAAGTCACTGGGAACATTTAGGTTGGAAAAGATCTCTAAGATCATCAACTCCAACCCTCACCTAACACTGCAGGTTCACCACTAAACCACATCTCCATGTGTGCCATGTCCACACATCTCCAAAATGCCTCCAGGGACGGCGATTCCACCACTTCCCAGTGCCCAGTCACCCTTTCTATGAAGAAATCCTTCCTGACAACCAATCTAACCCTTCTCAGTGCAACTTGAGGCCATATCCTCACATCCTAGGCTGTTTCCTCATGTATGAAGGCTCTCTCCTTGCTTCGCAAATGTCTCTGAATTATGGCCACTCTTTTCACACTTGGGCTAGCAGTGCTGCATAGTGCCCTGATTTAAATATCTGAGGACTAAGGACTACAGCATGTTTGATTCGAGCCCAGGTGACTCAGGAGAGGATTCCAGGAGGCCTCAGGTCCGGCCTTGCTGTCCGAGCAGGGCACCACAGCCCAGGGCTGTGTCATTTCCAAGGAGGAGATCTCACAGCTTCTCCGAGCAGCCTCTGAATACAGATAGAGCTTACAGAAATAGAGCTTTATGATATGAAAAAGATCACTGATGAAATTTGGAAAAGGAAAGTTTTCAGAGCAAAAATGAAGAGTCAGGTCAGCCACAAGCAAATAAAAATGTTACATTAACGATAGACAAAAAGGGTCATTTTGTTTTTATTTTGCCATGTACAGAGTCTGACAAGAGAAAATAAGAAACCATCACAATGACTTATTTTGAGGAGGAATAGGACAAATTCATTTTTGGCTGAGATGGACCCACATGTCTTGCTCTCCTATCTCCCTGCTTTCCCATGTGCAAGGATGTCACCATGGCAGTGCAGAGAGGAGCAGACACATCCTGGACAGCTGCAGTGAAAGCAGATGTTTGGGAGCAAAAGGAGATGCAACGACCAAGAATCCAAGCATGGGACACAGAGAAGCATTTCACAATGTGTCCCAAAACACAACCTCCCATTTTTTCATGTAAATATTAGAAAGGTCAACACAGGGAGAAATCCTCATGCTTGTTGGCTGAGTCACACCCATGTGAAATGTATCATAAAATCGGTATCCATAATTAATGTTTACAGTGTGCCAGATGCAAAGATTACCATCTTGTATCAGTCAGGACAAACTAGAGTTATCTTTGCCTTCCTTGCTTTCAAAAGCCTCAGTCCCCTACCTCCTCCCCTCCAGTTCAGGTTTAACTTCATACTTTCTGCATTTCTGGTGGCTGCCTTGATTTCTTTCTTAACAGAAACAAAAAGGGTTGCTTCTGTAGTTGGATTGGAGATCCAGCAGCACTTCAGTGTTTGGCTAGTTGTTCATCTGGTATAAACAGATGTAGGGCTATAGATTTCAAAAGAATGAACTTCCACCAGATAATGATCAGACCTGCACTCTGAACCATTATTTTGTAAACTGAGGTGGTAGGTGGTTTGTGAGCAGATCAGCCCACCATACTGAGGATAGTAACCCTGCAAAACAGTACTAAAAATATGCTGTGGCTCTTCTTGAATCAGAGTCCTAACTAAGAGCAGAGTTAGAGTAAAATCTTGACAAGTAGCACACAAGTCTGTGACCACACAAATAATCTGCTTCTGACTGCCCTCATTCAGCTAATTTGGCTAGTGGGTATTGATACCATATAGAATTTATGTAAATTATTATATTTAAGTTAAGAAATTCATGTCTATTCCTAAAAAAAAAATAATAAAAAAAGAAAGCGGCAACATCTGCATGAGATCTTTAAAAAACCATCAAGCTGAAGATAAAGCACTCTCTTGTGATTTGTGTGTATCGCTTAACCATATCAAGCTTGGAAAGAGAATGGCAGAACATAAATTAAATAAAGAATGCCTGAAAAAAATGCCTTTGTAGTCAACTGAGAGAAAAGGACATGTTTAGTGCACAGTTCTTCTGTCCTGTTTTAGTTGTGCAAAAATGAAATGAGTCTTGACCTAGAAGTGCTGACTTCTTCCACTGAATGCACAAGAAAACTAAAGAGACCAGGAAGGCTGAATTAATCAGCTCAATTCTCTCCTTGCTATCTGAGCAAAGGACAGGGAATAGAAATTTTAAGCTTAATAAGATACAGAACAATTGCCTTCATAGTGAATGCTTTGAGCTTAGGATGAGAAAATGATATTACCTGATGTCTATGTAAAAGATTCACATAGGAAATAGTTGAAAAATGCACTCAGTTCCTAGCTGGCAGGTGAACCCAGCAGAAATGCCTCTTCAGCAATGTGCAGACACTTGCTAAAACCCTCCCCAGAGATGAAAGGATTTCAGGCTCCTGACTTACAAGCTTGTTCCAGAAGTGGGTCAAGGCTGGGATGTGTGCCCAGGACAGTTAACTGGGTGACATGGGCAGCTCTCAGACGGACCGGTACCTTGAGCTGAGGATTGCTCTCAAGTGGCTAAGATCTCCCTCTCACTATTTTTCTAGTGAAAGGAAATCTGATTTTAACAAAGCCTGCTATATGAAACTATCTAAGTTAATAACCATGAGGGATTTCACCCATGCAAACTCTGTTCTTGTTGTCTGAGTAACAAAACATATCTGTGACACACATTTCTGGTTTAGCTAGACATGAAGCAAAGCACAAACAGAAATCTTTACAGAGATCTGTACAACAAAATTCAGCTAACTGCTTGACAAAAAATGAAACATCAAAACAACACTCATCACCCAGCTGTTAATTTTCAAAGACAATTGGGCAATATTATTCCCCCTGCATCACCAGGCTTCCTACAAGAAACAATAAATCCTATATTCCTCTATGCCATAATCCAGCACTTGTTAGACTTACAGTGCACGGCTGCCCGAAAAATACCAGAAATAACAAGAATCTCTTATTCTTGGGTAGGGCAAGAAATGGCCCTACAGTGACCTGTAACATTCCTGAGCCCTTATAAAGAGGGTGAGAAGATGGCTGCATGTGTACGGCTGGCTTGAAAGGCAGAGTGTGTGCCTGTGAGCCTGAGAGACAGCCAGGTCCCATTTTCCATAACGGCAGAGCAGGTGACAAAACTATGTGCTTGTGTTTATGCTGGCAGAATACTTGTACTTACATGGACTTTCCTAAAAGAAAGCTATTTCTGGAGGGATAACTGTGGATAAAATGATTGCAAGGGCAAAAGAGGAAAGACCTACCAACAGAAGGGAAGAAAAAGCTGGTAATGGTGGACCAGCAGCTGCAGATGGAGACCAGAGTTAAAGTGGAAATAAAAACTGATGAAAGAAACTGTGTGCAAAAGATGTCCTACCAACCATCTCCCACAAGATACTAATCTTTGGAAGCATGGATATATAGATGTGTTGGCAAGATCTCATCCATTTACATCCAAAGCTGCACATGTGGAAGATTATTAAGAACATGGAGGAGGTCATTGTTGAATATTTAGCCCACAGGTCCTGCTGTCTGCTGTACTGCATCCACAGTGCCTGCAGCAGCACCTTCAGATGTGTTGCGGTGGTGTGGAGCCCAAGCTTTCCTACCAAGCTTCACACAACGGATTGTTAGCACACAGACATGGTTCTGCCACAGTTTCAGTACACCAGGCTTTTCTTTGGAGCAGCTGACTGATGACAGAGCAAGTATCGTATAATCACAGAATCATTAAGGTTGGAAAAGACCACTAAGATCACCAGTCAACCCATCCCCACCATGTCCACTAACCATGTCCCTCAGTGCCACATCCACGCACTTCTTGAACATCTCCAGGGACGGTGACTCCATCACCTCCCTGGGCAGCCTGCGCCAATGCCTCATTGAATAGACAATGTAAACAGACAATGATTTGCTATGTCGTAGGTCCCATATGACATATTGAGTCCTTCTCCTTCCTACCACCATCATGCAGAACTTAAAAAAACACAAGACTGGGAAACTGAAGAGCAAGATCACATTGTTTTATACACAGTTTTCAACTTCTCACATGAACAGGCAAAAGAGGGATAGCTAACTCTCATTCTGAATTAAATCATAAGCCTAATAAAAGGCACATCACTGTAAGTCATCACCAGTCAGCAGTGCCTACCAAGGTGGTTCCATCTGAAGGACAAATGTGGATGACTTCATTAACACAGGCTTTTTCCAGTTCTCATCAGAGATGCCATAGGGTATGTCTCCATGATGACAGGAATTGTCCGACATCCAACGCTTGTTTCACAGAAGTGTTCCTGAAAAGCTGAGATTTCTGGTGGTGGGATTCTGACCGCAGCCCCCCATATCATCAGCCATGATCACAGTAGAGGACAAAGTCTCACAGGAAGGAGAAATCTCAGCCTTAAGGAGCTTTATGCCAAAAACCATATATACACAAGGGCATGAGACCAAGGTACCATCAAGTACAATGACAAACACATTCTTGATTCATATTAGCAGAGTAAGACAGAGGACAGGGTGAAGGTTGTGTGACTGCCTTTACTCTTCCAATTCAATTTGCTTGAATTTTATCCATTTAGTACACAGTTGGGAACACAGCTCTTCTTTTCCTGACAGTAAGCTGTTTCTGTATGTGTGATCAGAATTACAAAGAAACATTGTAATGGTGATAGAATACTGTGCTTCAAGCTTCCACAAATACTATTCTACAAAATGGTTAAGTTTTTTGTACACATTGTATGAATAAACATAACAAATTGCTGAGCCTCACAAAAATTATAAGCAGTCACTTGAAATTTTCAAGGAGGCAGCAAAAAATCTTAAGAGTGATTGCTTATGTTACCAAAGATTGTCTTGTGTAAAATATTCTGGTTGGAATCTAACCCTTCGAAGAAGAGAGAAGTGAAACACCAGAAACTTATAATTAAATGACCACAGCTGTTACTGCTGACACAGATATACTGGCACAGAAGACATGCTGAATCGTTTGTTTTGATAAATTTGTACAAATAAGCTCCATCAGTAAAATCACTTTTACTCATCTTACTTCAGCCCATTTCAGAGTTGCATCAATTTACTGGTATTGGTTACTAAACGGTCAGTATAAAAACTTCTCTGCAGGTCAATCAACCACTGTCCAGTGACTCCAGGTAAGTCCAGTAAAGGAGGGAACCTGACCTAGAATTTTCCAAAAGGATCAATTAAAACACTGCACTTCAGTGTCACCTTCCAGAAGGGCATCTTGAATGTCTTACATGCATTTAATAAGGAGAAGCTCCCATTATTTGTGAGGTATGCTAGCATCTCAGATTGCTTTACATATAAAGAAAAGGAGAGGAAGTGTTTGCAAGACAGCAATGTAAGTGGTCCCACAAAGCACACGGAGTGAATCCTAGACAACTTCTATCTCCTGGTCCTATGATGTGATCCATCAGCTTTGTTGCAACAGCCAAGCGAAAGATAAAATAGGAATTCAAACAATCACAGAACAACACAGGAAATCTCAGCAAAATACATTTGACTTGGGAAAGGTATAATTGAAATAATAAAATAAAAATGTTCACTGGTGGCTCATCACTGCATCCTTGGGGGCATTTTTGTCACAGAAGTGTTCCCGGATTGCTGAGATTTCTGGCACTATGTGGTGTGATTCTGACTGCTGTCCCCCATGTTGTCGGCCGGGATCTCAGTAAAGAGCACAGAGACTCACAGGCAATGTGAATGTATTTGCAGTAATATCTTTAAACTTGCTATGTTGTGTCACCACCAGTATCAAAGCTGATCTCTTGTCAGCATGCTCTGCCACACAACTACATATAAATGCTACAAGCAGTGCAGTATGTCCTGTAATAACAAAGCCTTCTCTCTGTCAAAAAGTGCTGTGCCTTAGCACTCTGTGGAGCTCAAAACAGAGGTACTCAGATAGTCCATAGCACATAAGGAGCAAAAAATAATTTGAACTTTTGAGATCCTGCTTCAAGCAGATTTAGGACTAGCCCAGTGTTGAACAAGCATGAAGGTAGGGACATTCTTCCCCAGCCAAATGGAGAGGCAGCCTGTAAGGAAACTCCAGGGAGCACTGGGACTGTGGAGGAGGACAGAGGCTGGACTGATGCTTGTGGCTGCAGGAGGATTCCCTATGTACCCCCACTGTCTGTGCCTGCATGCTGATGAATTCCAAGAGAGCTGCCAAGATCTGTAAAAAGTAACATCCCTACTCCTTTGTCAGCATCAGCAGAAACAAGATCTGCATTCCTTCGATGGGAGCAAGAAAGCACAAGTGCTGCCTTCAGTTCTTGTCTTCAGAAAGCTGAATCAAAAAGAATTTGTAGGGAAGCAGTGTTCATCTTTGCAGCGCTTGAACATCCCTTCTCATTTCAGGTGGTGCCCGGCATCAGAGCAGCAAGGTGTCTTCAGCAAAAATCAAAGAAGCAGTAGGAGAATAATCAAAGCCACACATTTAGCTGCCTCAGGTTACACAGTAGTACTGGGGAGGGCAAGCATTCATTCCATCCATTTGTCCAGCAGAAGACACTCCTCCCATTCATGTAGGTGTATTGCACTCCTTCTTCAGAAACTTATCAAATCAAGGTGTAGGCAGAAGTCAGGCTAAGCACTCCCCAAGCAGCCATTTTGCACTTTACTTGTGCTCTGAAATGTCCCTGGGGCTGCAGTCAGGTGCATGCCTTGGTGAGATGAGACACACAGAGACACATCCCAGGGACATATGCTCCAGCCCAAAGAGATGCTCTGGAGGAGGAGTGGAACTGTGGCTCCCCTCAGCCACAGAGCCCCAGCCATTGGGTTGGGCACAAGCTACCACACATCAGGTGGACAGCTTTAATAAAGGACACCATAACCTGGCTGTGTCCTAATCCTCCCAATATGTTTGACAGCCAGTGACACCATATTCCTCTAAAGGCAGACAGAGCACAGATGTAAATGGCAGAGTGAAGCAGAATGGGTACGGCAGGAAGCCACCCAGCCACACTTCGGTACATGTTAAGCCAAGGAGAAACGAGTTCCCCTACTACATAGTGGGAAGAATGTGGTCATAGCAGCTCACTCATTACAGCACAGTGTAAGGCAGAAATGAGCACTTAGCTGCACCCAGAGAGTGAGCGTTCTGCACTTGATCGTGTCACATGCAACTGGCACACTGAAAAGCTTTCACCGTCGGTTGTAAGCCTCTCCTCCATCAGTCACAACAGAGAAGGCAGAGCGCACCTCCTGAGGAAGTTGCCTTCCCATTTCTCTCATCCAAAGCACATGTGGGAGCCCCCAGCACTCCTTGCTGGGAGCTTCCCCTCTTTCCCCTCCTTGCTTAGCAAATCCCAAACCCCCACTCCTCAGAGCCCCAAACGCCCACCCCACGGAGCCCTGGGCACCCCGCAGAGCACCCCCAGCTCTCTCCAGACACCTGCACGCCAAATCACCGCTGCTCCCAGGACAACCATAGCGCACAGACCCGGAGCTCCGGCATCCCGGAGCTCTCCGGGTGACCCCAGGCTGACCCTCCCAGCTCTTCTGTACCTCTACACAACACCCTCGGGTGTCCCCGATCTCAGCCACCCGGCAAAGCTCTACCGCAGACCGAGACCGCCCGGACACGCCTGCACCGAGCTCTCCCGCGGACGCTCGCGGCCCCAGCTCTCCCGACGGCTCCCCCCGCATCGCCGCGGACCCGGGGAGCGCCCGGTGACGAGGACCGCGGCGGGGGATGACACCTTCCCTCACGATTTCCAGAGGAGCAGCCCTACCTTCTTGCCGTCGGCGGCGGCGAACACTCTACTCTCGCCGCTCACCGAGGATGAGCGGCCGGGCCCGAGGTGCTCCTGTTGCGGGGACATCACGTCCATGCGGCCCCGCGCCGCCGATCTCCCGCCGTGGCGACACCCCAACCGCCGCCGCCGCCGCCCGCACCATGGACAGGGCGCGCCGCGATGGCACACGCCCCCCCGGGACACGCCCCCTAGGCGGAACACGCCCCCACAGGAGCCACGCCCCCAGCCGGTTCGAGCCCAGCTCTGCGGCGCGATAGGGAGGGGAGGGGGCGACGCGCATGCGCCGTCGCGCGGAGTCGGTGGCGCGCTCTCGCCGTCCTGCGCGTGCGCGTGTCCTGCGGATGGAACGGTGCGGGTAGAGTGGGTTACGCTGCCCCGGAGCGGGAGGCGTTGCGTGGTCCCGGGGCTATGGGGGTGTGTTACGTTGTCCCAGGGATGGTTGAGGAATGGCATCGTCCCAGAAGTAGGGGGTGTGGCAGTGGCCCATCACCCGCCCACCTCCTGTTCGAGGTGAGTGCGAGGCAGGGTCCCTCCCCAAGGACTTCCATGGTTTGGAGTCCTTGCTCGTGCCCTGTTCTGGGGGTGTCAAGGGAGTGCCGTCATGCAGCAGGGAGTTAGGAGTCATCAAGGGGAGAGCACGTGTGTGTGAGTGAGCTGTGGGTTAACCCGGACCGGAAACTGGATAGAAGCTCTCTGTCCCTGTCCTTCTCCATGTAGAGGGGTGTTTTTCTCTCCATCCTTTGCAGTGGTTGTAGGTTGTACGTGCATTTTTTCGTGTGCTGAGCACCAGAAAGCCAGGCAGTAAAAGAGACACCTTTCCATCTCACACACAGCTTTCCATATGTCCACCTACCTCCTGTGCTGGGATTCAGTGTAGTTCTGTAGGGTTACTTTCCTGGTTCTGGCTGCAGCAGTGCACATGGTAGCAGCCACTCCTGCCATGTACACCTGAAGCAGCGGAGAATGGCAATGTTTCTGCATCATGCAGCCACTTCTCTGAGCTGTTTAAGCTCGTCAGCTCCATGGGACAGTGCTTGGGTGATCCTATTGCTGAGACTGATGTAGGCTCATGTCCTCTGCGTGCATGGTGCTTCCTGCAAGTCAGGGGAATCGTGTGGGTGCAAGCAAAGGGGAGATGAAATATTAATGCCTAGGATGCAGCCTGAATGCTGCTGCCTCCTCACACAGAGGCACTGAGCTTTCCTGGGCCCAGCAGTTCACTGTTGCCTGACCAAAATCAAATCCACATTTATGAGCATTTCCCCAGTTGGCGATAGCTCTTGGATAACACCATGCCAGTGTCTGAGGCTCAGAGAGCTGCCAGGCTGCCTCTGCTGTCCTTTGGGAAAATCACTGAATAGAATAAAATAATCATTAAAGTTGGAAAAGGCCTCTAAGATCATCTAGTCAACTGTCAACCATCATGTCCACTAAACTATGTCCCCAAGTGCCACATCTATACATTTCTTGAACAACTCCAGGGACAGTGACTACCTCCTCCTTGGGCATCCTGTGCCAATGCCTGACTACTCAGAGAGTAAATCTTTCTTCTGGCACAATTTAAGGCCATTCCCCCTCCTGTCACTGTTACTGGAGAGAAAAGGCTGACCCCGACCTCACCGCATCCTCTTTTCAGGCAGTTGCAGAGAGCGATAAGGTCCTCCCTGAGCCTCCTCTTCTCCAGGCTGAACAATCCCAGTTCCCTCAGTTTCTCCCCATAAGCTTTGTGCTCCAGACCCCTCACAGCTCTGTTGCCCTTCTCTGGACACTACAGAGCCTCAATGTCTTTCTTGTAGTGAGGGGCCCAGAACTAGACACAGTACTCAAGGTGCTGCCTCACCAGAGCTGAATACAGGGGGATGATTACCTCCCTGCTCCTGCTCTCCTGCTGGCTATGCTATTGCTGATACAAGCCAGGATGCCCTGGGCCTTCTTGGCTACATATACTTACAGATTGGAACTCGCACCATTTCCCCCTGTTGGTTCTGTGTGGTCTTTCAGCTGCTCTGTCCAAACATTGACAGAATTACGAAGATGATCAGGGGACTGGAGCACCTCCCCTATGAAGACAGGCTGAGGGAGCTGGGCTTGTTCAGCCTGGAGAAAAGAAGGCTGTGGGGTGACCTCATTGCAGCCTTTCAGTACCTAAAGGGAGCCTACAAACAGGAGGGGAATCAACTCCTTGAAAGGGTAGATAACAGCAGGACAAGGGGAAATGGTTTTGAGTTGAGGGAGGGGAGATTTAGGTTGGATGTCAGGGGGAAATTCTTTCCAGAAAGAGTGGAGAGGTGCTGCAACGGGCTGCCCAGAGAGGTTGTGGATGCCCTGTCCCTGGAGGTGTTCAAGGCCACATTGGATGGGGCCCTGGACAGCCTGGTCTAGTATTAAATGTGGAGGTTGGTGGCCCTGCATGTGACAGGGGGGTTGGAGATACGTGATCCTCGAGGTCCCTTCCAACCCTGGCCAGTCTGTGATCCTGTGCATCTGGTCCAATGCATCTGTTGTGGGGCAGATCCCAGATCTTGCAGATCCTCTGCAAGAGGGCTGAGAGATTTGCTGGGGTAGGGAGGAAGCTTACACCACGACTATTCAGAGCTCAGAATATATTTAGAGCTTTGGCACCCTGTTCCCCAGAAACATTTGCAAGTGATGATATTCTTGGTGACGATTTGGAAATTAGGCAGTGATAATGTATTTATTTTGCAAAGGAAATGTTGCACAAGCTTTCCTAAACACTCACACATGTTTTGAGGTGTTCTTTTCTTAGATTCCATAAGCGCATTTCTTACAGTGTTTGTTGAACACTGACTCTGTCACCTGCTCACTAAGATAAATAGATGAGAATCCTGCCATTTGGTTAAGGGAGATGGGAGAAGCTTCTCTGTGCATCATGAATGTGTATACAGACGGACAGCCGTAGTGCAGGAGTTCTGGTTGTCGACAAGCTGAATATAAGTCAGCAGTGTGCCCTGGGGCCCAAAGGGCCAACTGTGCCCTGGGGTGCCCTAGGCCCAGCAGCAACAGTGGATGGGGGGAGGGACTGTCCCCTCTGCTCTGTGCTGTGCAGCCTCACCTCCAGCTCTGGATGCGGGTTTGGGCCCATAGTATAAGAAGGGCATAAAGCTACTAGGAGAGTCCAAAGGAAGGCTACAAAGATGGGGAAGGGTCGGAAGGACAATGAGGACAGGACGTATGAGGAGCAGCTGATGTCCCTGGGTGTGCTCAGCCCAGAGCAGAGCAGGCTGAGAGGAGGCCTGATGGTGGCTGCAGCTCCTCACAGGGAGTGGAGGGACTGCAGAGGGGAAAAGAGAAATTTGGAGGAGAACAGGATGGGTGGCTGAACAGCTCCATATCATCATCACTTGGGAGCAGTCCCACTGTAAATTTGGGCATTCCTTGTGAACGATGGCTAGATGGCATTGCCCTTCTTTTCTGGAATTCAGTACAGCAGCTTTAGGGACAGAGGGAATTTGTCATTCCTCATCTTCACATTATTTGCTGCTACTCCATGCCAAAAAGGTTGTGGTTTGCAAAGAGCATCTTCCATCTTCTGTGGTCCCTGAGGGCCTTGACAAGAGAAAGCCTGTCCTTCTCTTTTTGATGGTAGCTTGATAATAAAATTAAGTGCTATGTAAGTAATTGCTAAGTGGAATTCACAAATGTCCAGAAATTCAGGCCATGGCAGTTATTAACATTTTGTGCACATATATTAGCATTAATAGAAAATACCCTATCTGCCCCTTCACATGTTAGTAGAGACCTCCAGGTTTCAGTTTTCTATTTCAGTGCCAGGGGCCAAGCCCTTCTACCCCTTCCACAACTGCTACCTGGACACCAGGAAGGAAAGACCATCACAGCCAGGCCTTGTGCAATTTTGAATATCCATTTCAGCCTTATTACATATGCCGTGTGAAATTGAGTCCAGTGCATCAAAGAGAAGCTTGCCTTTGAAGGGCTGCATGTCTCCTGCATGCAAATGCTGCTCTGATTTAATTAAGCTTGATTTTATAATTGGTGTAGTTAAATTGGTATGATTCTTGTGAGCAAATAACGATTGGCAGGAGCACCTCAGTGTGCTTACAGCATCGTGTTAACAGAACCCATCAGCAAGTGACATTGGGATTTCCTTCCATTCACCTTTTTCATGTTTTTTCTGTATCTTACTTCTGATTTTTATGCTTTGTTTCCTTTGTTTGCTTTAACAGACTCATAAGATTGCTTATTTTGGGCTTCTCTGTACTGAAGATTTTCCTGTGGTAGTGACAGAGACAGCCCTTCAACTGGAAATTGTGAGACAAAGTTAAAAGCTGCTGGCTGGATATTCATCTGGAAAGACCTCACAGAGAACAAAATATTAGACATGAAAGGATAGCATGTTGTTTAAGATAAGGCCTAATCTCTTCCCTTTATGGGCAACATTTCTGATCTAAATCTGAGCACTTGCACCCAGAGCTGTTTAACTTTCACTCTCAGGTAGGTGGGCAGCAATGCAAATACTGAAAGCTAAATCTGCATGGCAGTCCTGAGCACAGCATGCAGATGCAGTAAGTGGGAGGCTGACTACCTACAAAATATTCAGGACACCCATCTGGTCAAGTACAATCTTAAACTTTCATAGATCTCACTGTGTACCCATCACACTACATGACACCTTGAAAAGCCACAGTCCGCGGCATTTGCTGCTCAGCACTGGAACTGGTTCCTATTTATCAACACGTTCTTGAGAAAGACATCCTATCACTTAAAATTTGATGAGAGTGTGTTAGAAGATGCTTGTCCCAAAGTTCTAGATGAGAAGCATGACTGCGTACACACAGCTCATAAATAACCCATTCTGTATTGTTGTTGTAGCTAGGTGTTGCTGATGGACTCCCTGGAGCTTCACAAAGCACTGGCCATGCAAACAGCCAGATTCCTATTTCGGTGGGTTGAAGCACAGAGTAATAAATTGCATAATGCGAGTAAGTTGGCATATATGTGCCCAGTGAGGATTATACATCCATAACAAGAACCTTTATGGTAACTAGAATGGGAAAATATTGGGGTTGCATCAAGAATAGAGCACCTTTGTTTTATGGCTGGTGGGACTTGGATTTATTGGAAACAGAAGGCATACTGTTGATGCTGGCTGTATAGGAGACACAAAGGGATATCCC